CGAGTCTGTGAGAGTCCCAGGAAGACAAATTCTGATACCCACGTGAGATTCCCTGGTTCCATGGCGTCTCATCCATACATCTAAAGAAAATGAACCATAGGTATACATGCATGAAGTCACTTTTACTGCTCAGGGCTCAGAGTTGTCCAGCTCCAGATGATGGAGCCTCATGTGTAGACCACATCACTAGGTGCTGATGAAATTGGCTTGTCTGTGGAGAGTTTACAAGTTGGTGCTGTCATATGCATTCGTGACATATCTTTAAAGCCATCCAGAGACATATGCAACCTGCCTTTCAAAGATTCCATGTGATACAATGGTAGAGAGATAGGTGGAGTCCAACAGAACATCAGTAAAATTTCAGGGCTTCTGCCTCCTTGAGATTTGACCTTGATTAAGCTACTTCATCTCTCTGGGTCTCAGTTTCCATGTCTGCAATATAAGAATTAAAACATCATCTTTATAGAATTGCCTAGGGGATTAAATAAAATAACACATGAAGTTCCTGGAACAGTGCTGGAAATAAATCACTCTGGCAATCACTCTTTTCTGGGTAGTTTCCTCCTCTAAATACATCCTCCCTTCTGCTAGTGTCAATACATTTTTCTAGCAATCATTTTTCATGCAACATTTAGCCCATCCTCATTTTAATGGACTATTCCTGTGTCTATGTTTTTCCTCTGTAATTTAACTGAAAACTCCCAGAGGCAGAAACACAGATCTTTATCTCTGCCCCACGGTGCCCATCTTGGTGGACAGTCAACACTCCAAAAGCATATGGTGTGGACTAGTGGGTGGGAGAGGAGCTATGGGGTATATAGCCCCTTACCCAATGAGGCCAGGGAAGTGATGAAGTGTGTGCTGAGACAAGAGAGAGTCCAGAGAGAGAGAGAGAGACTCTCTTGGAGCGCCTGGGTGGTTCAGTCAGTTAAGTGTCTGACTCTTGATTTTGGCTCAAGTCATGATCTCACCATCGTGAGAAACACTTATAGTTTGGAGCCTGCTTGGGATTCTCTGTCTCCCTCTCTCTCTGCCCCTTCCCTTCTCTCTCAGGTGCCTGTGTGTACTCTCTAAATAAATAAATAAATAAATAAATAAATAAATAAATAAACATTAAAAAAAGAATGCATTAAAAATTAGATGATGAATATAGTATGATGGGGACTCAAGGAGATCTTCTGAAAGGAATAAGAAGTTTAGAAGATGTTACTGAATACAAGGGTAGAAGACAAAGGAAGATGTTGAAATAAGAGCAATGGAAATAGACAAAGGAATCAAGGCAGGAGATGAAGAGAAGGGAGAGGGAGGAACAGAGCAGATGAAGGAAGGGGAAATGGGGAGGTGGTGGGCAACGGAGGGGGCAGGGAATGGTGTCAAAGGTGGAGAAGAAGGTGGAAGGAAAGAGATGGAGGGGGACAAGGTTAGGGGTGGGTGGCCTCCCCACTCCTGCCCTGTCTCAGTCCTGTTGTCTCTCACATGCCTATTGAGATCCATTATGTATTAAAGGTCATTTTAATCTCATCCTTCTGTTTCCATTTGCTTCCACTGCAGTCTGGTTCTATAAGACAGTCAATGAGACCTTTCTAAACTCATGTCTGATCACGTTTCTCTCCCATTATAATCTTTCAATGACTGCCTAGAGCTCACAGCTTAAAACTCCAACTCTTAGAAGCTGTCTCACAGGTTTTGTGGATTTATACAGAGTTGAAACATGCTTACAGAAGTGCCTGCAACTCCCTATCGGCATGTCACACAAGGCTATGAAATGTAGCCTTCATCTGCCTTTGTAATCAATACCCCTGTTACCCAGGAACAGAATGCCATTCAAGAAATTCATAGCTTCTCACATGTGCCATATGCTCAGTTATTTCCGTAGCCTTGGTAATGAGTTCTGTTTCCTGAAATATCTTCTACTACCTTCTCAACCTAGAAGGACTCAGATATCACCTTCTTGTGACTCCTCCCCATATCTCTCCCATGCAGAATCAATCCCTTCTTTTTCTGGGTTCCAATAATGTTTTATAAATACCTACATTATAGCATCTTCCACGTTCTTTTCTTGTCCCTCTAAACTAGATTGTAAATTCAGTAAATTAGCTCCAGCACCTCTAACAGCAACCCTGATCTAGCAGTTGCTCAAAACTTATTTGCTAACTTAATGTATGAGTAAGTAAGTATGTGACATGATTTTATGCAACTAGGTGGGGGATTGTGTGGTGCGCTTCCTCACGCTCAGCCCTCAGCACCCTCCATCCCTGCTTGGTTGATAAAAGCCGAGTTTTCCACATGCAACCTGAGGCATCTGTTTTCAACATCACAGTTCCCCTGAATAACTTCCCGAGACTCTCCTCACACTTTAGACTTACTACCATCAAGTCTATGTCATTTGACATATTCTCTCCATGTTCCAGTAAGTGGTTCTGGGTCCTTCTTGCAGCTGATTTATCTACAGATGAGAAAACCTTGGTCTCTCATCTTCCTTCAGTCCAGAACCGGAGAAAGTCCTCAGGTCTTACATTGTCTTGGAGAGGCTTTTCCTGCAGCGTCAGGTCCCTGGTCACTGCCCACACATCACGTGTGACAGCGGAGGTGACCCTAGGGAAAGAGGGCATATCCTCAGGGAGATGCTATTGGACTGGGCTCCGCTCAGGAAGCAGAGCTGGGCTGATTCTTACCCGATTCCCGCTGGAGGCAAGGGAACAATGGGAGTTGTTAAAAAGTTTCTAAATGTCTCAAAAACACTTACTCTCTCAGAGGTCTTCCTTGGGGGCCAAAAGTACCAAGGACATTGAAAATTTTAGAAATTTTCAGGATGTAGGATTTTCAGGCCACTGTCTAAAAGGATGAGAGTCTCTTCCAAAGAAATGGACTCTGGGAGTGTTAGACAAACCCAATTGTTAGACCAGTGATTCTTACCCTTAAAAGAATCCCCTGGAGATCATGTGAAAAGATAGATTAGTGTGTCCCCGAGGCCCCAGACTTTCTCACTCAGTTGGTCAATAATAGGGCCAAGATTTTGCATTTTGAACAAGTTCTAAGATAATGCTGATGTTCCTGTTTGTAGGGCCACACATTCAGCACCACTGACTGTTCTCTCTCTCGTGCATGTGTGCAGAATCATCAAGCTAACTGTTTTGATTTCTTTCTCTCTTCTCCTCTCCTCCTTCTTCTCTTTCTCCTTTTCCTTCTACTTTTAAACTTAATTGATATTTATTTACAGAAAGTCATAAGTGGGGAAATGTTTGTATGCTACAATAGGAACTTATTAAAAATCTTGTCCTTTATTTTACCAACCAGACCCCCCACCCCCGTGTTGATTTACCAACCGTATCCAAGTCTACTCACATTATCTATAGGATGCTAGCATTTTTTACATGTGAATTATTATTACTTCTAACATGAGGATTGGTGCAAGAAACCCCTATATTTTTTCATTATGAAAACAGATCAAAACTGGAATTAACTGCCATTGTAAACTTGACGTGCCATAAAACCTGATTTCTTAGAGCTCTCTGATCTACATAGCATTTCCAGGTTACTCTAAATTCTTTCATTGCAAATGTTTACACTTGGCTAAATAAAGTATTTGCCTCTGGCAGACAAGAATACCATGTGAAGATTTTCCACATTCAAGAGATGTAGATTAAAAAACAAACAAACAGGGGCGCCTGGGTGGCTCAGGTCATGATCTCACAGTTCGTGAGTTCGAGCCCCGCATTGGGCTCTGTGCTGACAGCTCAGAGCGTGGAGCCTGCTTCGGATTCTGTGTCTCCCTCTCTCTCTCTGCTCCTCCTCTGTTCACACTCTGTCTCTATGTCTCTCAAAAATAAATAAAACATTAAAAAAAATTTTTAAACAAACAAACCACTAATTCTCATTTAGAGCTTCAGTCCATTTTAAAATATAGTCATGTGAAAAAGTGGTCTGGATAGATTCTGGGGAAGGAGACAGGACTTGTGTATTTTGTTGATTATCATGTGGGTGATTTTAAGTTCTGATTCTGGCTTAGCTTTCACTAAGAGAAAGCTGATATGTTCCAATTAATATATTTCCCCTGTCAAGGCACATACGTGTCTGCAGAATGCCCTCCAAACCTAATCTCTTCACCACTGCATCCACTAGCCAATGTAATGAATTCCAAAGACCAGATGGCAGGAATGGAGTATTTACACTAAAGACCTAGTCACGGAAAACTGAACTGAGAAAAGTATTTCCCTATGCACTATATACCCAAGAAAATAAATATTTGTCAGATTTAACTGTTGTTACAACTTCAAACTTAAATGGATGCAGGATACATACAGAAGGAATTTCATTTATATTCTCATTGAGGGGACCCCGCATCTCTGATAATTAGTTATTCTTACATTATGGTGGTAGGTTTTATATGTCAACTTGACTAGTCTATAGTTCCCAGTTATTCAACCAAACACTAACCTAGGAGTTGCTGTGAAGGTACTTTGCACATGTGATTGATGTCTATACTCAGTTGATTTTTTAAATGTTTATGTATCTATTTTGAGAGAGAGCTTACACATGCGTGCATATACCTGCAAGTGAGTGGGGGATGGGCAGGATGAGAGACAGAGAGAGAGAGAGAGGGAGAGAGAGAATCCCAAGCAGGCTCCACGCTCAGCGCAGAGCCCAACATGGAGCTTGATCTCACAAACCGTGAGATCATGACCTGAGCCAAAATCAAGAGTCAGATGCTTAATGGACTGAGATACCCAGGTGCCCCATAATCAGTTGATTTTAAGTAAAAGAGAATTTCCTAAATAATCTGGACGTGCCTGATTCAATGAGTTAAAAAACCTTGGGGGCAGAACTGAGGTTTTCTTGAAAGTGTTCTGGACTGCAGCTTCAGCTCATACAGAGTCCTCTCCTGCACTTTCTGATGCCCATCCTATGCATTTCTACTGGCCCAGGGTTCAGTCTCACATCATGTAAGCCAATTCCTTGCAATAAATCTCTTAATATACATATATCTATATCTGACTGGTCCTGTTGCTCTGGTGGAACCCTGACCAATACACCCCCTTTTATGGATCAAACATAAAATAAAAGCACATCTTATGTGAGGTTGATTGAGGTCTTTTCCTCCTCATACATCAATCATCCCTGAACTTGATTATAAATACAACTGGAATGGCAAGATGGACGGATTAATAAGGCTGAGAAGTGAAGTATTCTTTGAGCCAGACCCAATCTACAACCACTGAGCATAACACATAACGAAGATGATGGGGCGCCTGGGTGGCTCAGTTGGTTAAGCATCCAACTCTTGATTTTGGCTCAGGTCGTGATCTCACACTCATGAGTTTGAGCCTGGCGTGGGGCTCAGCACAGAGCATGGAGTCTGCTTGGGATTCTCTCTCTCCCTCTCTCTATTCCTCCCCACTCATGCTCTCTGTTTCTAAGAATAAATAAACTTAAAAAAAAAAAGTTGAGTCATTGTGTTGTACACCTGAAACTAATGTAATATTGTGTCAGTTGAGTATAGTTACACTCAAATAGAAAAGAAATTTTATAAAGATACCAGAATGTTTACTCTTTTTATCTATCTATCTATCATCTATCTATTTATTTAATTTATTTCTTTTGAGAGAGAGAGAGAGAGAGAGAGCATGAATGAGCAGGGGAGGGGCAGAGAGAGAGAGAGAGAGAGAGAGAGAGAGAATCCCAAGCAGGCTCCATGCTGTCAGTTCAGAGCCCAACGTGGGGCTCGATCTCACAAACTATCAGATCATGACTTGAGCCAAAATTAGGTGTTGGGTGTTTAACGGACTGATCCATCAGGCACCCCCTGATTTTTTTTAATCTATCACTGAAATAATTTGCAGCCTTCCATCAACAACTGCTAAGAGATCTGTATCTGTTTTCACTAATCCTATGTAAACAAAGTGACTAAAAAGCATTACTTGACTAAACCTGATTATTTAGACCCTAAGGAACCTGATAACTACAGTAAAACTTTGGATTGCAAGTTACTTGTTCTGCAAGTGTTCCACAAGACGAGCAAACATTTCTAATAAATTTTAACTTGATAAACAAGCGATGTCTTGCAATATGAACAATACATGATGCCAGATGTCACCTGATCACAACTGAGCCAATGGTTCTTCCCTCTTTCTCTCAATCTCTCTCTCTCTGTCATGCTGCATGCTTATGGATGATCAGCTCCCATGCGCAGATGCTTGGTCTCAGGCTGTGGTGTCTGGCAGAAATCAGTGATTTTTCAGAACATTGGGTGGTGCCTAAACTGGCATTAGTGTATTTTTTGTCACCTCAAAGTACCTATGGACAGTCCTTTGCTTTTACATAGAAGAGCAAGCTTAGGAATGATTTGCTTCATTCTAGGTCAGGCTGCCTGCAGATATAGACCCTTTCTTCTGCCTTATTGCCAGTTACATTATATACAGTATATGACAAGTGTTTAATACTGTACTGTAGTGAACATCCGTGCAAGTGTACACAATGGCCCCCAGGCAGGAAAAGGTTGAGAAGAAAGGTGGCAAGAAGAAGGAGATGATTACGGTGGAAGTTAAGAAGGAAATCGTTGAGAAGTACAAACAAGGTATGCAAATGGCTGAAATTGCAAGATTTTATAAGATGTCTACATCTGCATCTCGTCTGCAGAGGAGGAGGGGGAAAAAGCAGAGGACTCCCTCACTTCAGATGAGATTAGGGAGATGTGTAAATTGTGAGAAACAGTGAAAATTTTTGTAGTAAAGCACCACCCAAATAAGGCTGTAGCAGTGTGAACGATGAATCTGTTTAATGACAATGCAATTCACATTTCCATGAAATCCTTGAAAGAAGGCAAAAGCAAGTGTCATTGGATAGGTTCCTTGTTAAAGTTGCATGAAAAGAAAAAGGTTCCACTGAGCCAATAGGTAGCAGTGATTCCATTAGTGATAGTGAAAAATCATCCTACACAATAACCCTCCTCTCTCTTGTCTCCCTCACACCAACCACGAAGGTTTTCAAAGGCAAGTGCAGGCTCATTTGTTTATTTTTCTTTATTATTTTGTACTATATAACAGTATTGTAATCATTTTTATGTGAATATTTTGGGGGTGTGGAATGAATCATCTGAGTTTCCATTATTATGGGGAAATTCGCTTTGATATGCAAGTGCTTTGGATTACGAGCATGTTTCCAGAATGAATTATGCTAGCAAACCAAAGTTTTACTGTATCTTGGTTTAATTTAAAAGTATTGATGGGAAGATTCCAACTTATACTACAAATCTGTAGTAATCAAACAATATGATACAGGCAAAAAATAGACACATAGATCAATGGAACAGAACAGAAAACCCAGAAATCAATCCACAATTGTATGGTCAATTAATCTTCAACAAAGCAGGAAAGAATATCCAATGGGAAAAAGACAGTCTCTTCAACAAATGGTGTTGGGAAAACTGGACAGTAACATGCAAAAGAATAAAATTGGCCCACTTTCTTACACCATACACAAAAGTAAACTCAAAGTGGATTAAAGATCTAAATATGAGAACTGAAACTATAAAAATCCTAGACGAGAGCACAGACAGTAATTTCTCTGACATCACTCATAGCAACACTTTTCTAGATATGTCTCCTGAAGCAAGAGAAACAAAAGTAAAAATGAATTATTGGGACTACATCAAAATAAAAAGCTTCTGCATAGCAAAGGAAACCATCAACAAAACTAAAAGACAACCTACTGAATGGGAAAAGAGTTGTAAATCACATATCCAACAAAGGGTTAGTATCCAAAATATATAAAGAACTTACACAACTCAACACCAGAAAAACAAATAATCCAATTAAAAATAGGCAGAAGACATGAACACACATTTCTCTAAAGAAGACATCCAGATGGTCAACAGACACGTGACAAGATACTCTACATCACTAATCATCAGGGAAGTGCAAATCAAAACCACAATGAGATATCACCTCATACTTGTCAGAATGGCTAAAATAAATAATTTTAAAAAACAAGAAACAACAAGTGTTGGTGAGGATGTGGAAAAAGATTCCATGCACTCTGGCAGGAATGCAAACTGGTGCAACCACTGTAGAAAACTGCATGGAGTTTCCTCAAAAAAAAAAAAAAAAAAATAGAACTACCTTATGATCCAGTAATTGCACTACTGGTTATTTATCCAAAGAATAAAAAAACACTAATTTGAAAGGATATATGCACCCCTATATATATATATATATATATATATATATATATACCAACACAAAAATATATATATATATATATGTGTGTGTGTGTGTGTAGGTATATATATAGGTGTGTGTGTGTGTATATATATATATATATGAATATTTTTCATCCATAAAAAATTAAATCTTGCAATTTGCAGCAACATGGATGGAGATAGAGAGTATAATGCTAAGCAATATAAGTCAGTCAGAGAAAGACACATATCATATGATTTCACTCATATGTGGAATTTAAGAAACAAAACAAAGTAACAAAGGGAAAAAAAAAAAGAAACAAACCAAAAAACAGACTCTTAACTCTAGAGAACAAACTGATGGTTACCAGAGGGGAGGTCAGTGCGGGAATAGGTAAAATAGGTGAAGGGGATTAAGCACACTTACTGAGTAACGTCTAGAATTGTTGAATCACTGTATTGTATACTTGAAACTAACTAAACACTCTATATTAACTATACTGAAATTGAAATTTAATAAAAAGTATTGATGGAAAGTAAAAAAAAAATAATTTTAAATAGGAATGTGTGGAGGAACTAATATTAATTAAATGCCTACTATATACCAAGTACTATATTGGAATTTTACGTTTACCTCACTGACCCACACAACACTGTGAGGAAATACAGCTAAATTTTATAGCTAAAGAAGTAGAGATTCAATGATGTCCAAAAGGAGCACAGCCAGCAGGAGTTAAAGCCTGGATGGAATGTCATGGCTTCAAATCCTGTTATTGTCTCACTATACAATTTAAGACAGCATCAGAACATGGGGAAAGAAAGCCATTAAAAAATTTTTAAGTAACCTTTACACCCAATGTGGGGCTCAAGAGATCCTGAGATCAAGAGTTGCACGCTCTACCTACTGAACTGGCCAGGCAACCCACAAAAAAATATCCGAACCACTGTTCGGTGCCTGTAGTACCTAATATCTGAAATGGGGAATTAACTCTTCTCTAAAACATTTGTATTTTATGAAAGTATGCATATATGTAAATATTCCAATTCTCCACATGATAAAATTATAAAAAAGCCCTCTGTCTTACTAGAAAATTTCTGGGGGCACCTGGGTGGCTCAGTTGGTTAAGCGTCTGACTTCAGCTCAGGTCGTGATCTCACAGTTCGTGGGTTTGAGCCCCACGTCGGACTCTGGGCTGATAGCCCAGAGCCTGGAGGCTGCTTCAAATTCTGTGTCTCCCTCTCTCTCTCTGACCCTCCCTTGCTCTCACTCTGTCTCTCAAAAATAAATGAACGTTAAAAAAAAATTTACAAAAAAGAAAGTTTCTGTTAACCAGAATTCCCAGAGCTCTTTTTAAATTTAAGCCGTTATGAACAACGTATTTTATATTTTTTTCCTCTACATTCTTTATAGTGAGAGACATTGCACCTAACCATTTAGTGTTAGTTTATATCTGAGTCACATTTATATCATAAACATAGCATAACTTCAGTAAGAGATGTCTTAAATTCTCATGGAGATAGCTCTGTTCATCAAAAGGGGATATGTCTCCACAAGTCAGTTCAGAATTGAGTATCTCGTGTTGTGAAATGATCACCTGTAAGATAAATCTGAGGAAATTCTCCCCATTTCTTTCCTTTAGGTCAATGTTATAGATTATAATTAGAATTTCTATGCTTCCTACCATCCTTAGAATTGATGTTCTGGATCACATAAAAGTAAAATTTTCATAAATTAAAAAAGTGACTCAAGATCACTTTTTAAAAAATAAAACCAGTAAGTGACTTCTGATCATTTATAAATGGAATCAATAGATTGAAAGGCCACAGGAAAATTGACAACCATCAATGAATGCAAAGACATAGCTGAGTAAAGTTACAGAACTCCAAAGATAAAGAAAGAAGATTAAAAGCAGGGAACCGAAAAGAGTGTTATTGTTCCAGGGTTAAGATGAAAATTTTCACCATTTATCACAGATATTCATCCATAGCCGAGGAACTCTTTAGGTTTTCCCTTGTGTTTGTAGGAGATCCTGAGTTTCAAATCCCACCCATAGCCCTACCTCTAAACTTGGAGTCAGAGGAACCAAGTCCCGGCCAGGCTCTGCCACTCGCTATTCATCGTTGAGCAAGTCACTTCTCTCTGAGTTCTCTCATTTGTTAAAGCATTTAATACAACAACAACAACAACAATAATAATAACATATCCACTATCAGTTTTATGAGAATGAGATAGAAGCGAGAAAGTGCCCAATACAGTAACCTGACACAGGTGTGGGTCCATAGAAATATTGATTTCATCTCAAATGTCATACTCTATAAAGACTTTCCTCCACTTTTCACATGGGAAAACAGAAGTTCAGAGGGAAGACTTGTCATTTTAAAGTGAAGATATTTAAATTTTTTAATTTTTTTATTTGAGGGGGGAGGGGCAGAGGCCCACGACCCTGGGATCATGACCTGAGCCAAAACTGAGAGTTGGACACTCAACCAACTGAGCCACCCAGACACCCCTGAGTCAAGATATTTTAAGTTCACTCCCTGTTACATATCACTAGACGCTTGCCTAATCTCTTCATGGCTGCCTGCATCTCCTGGTTCCTCAGAGTATAGATCATGGGATTGAGCATGGGGGTCATGACCGTGTAGCTGATGGACACAGCCTTGTCCATGGGGAAGGGGGTGAAGGGCCGGGCATAGATATAGATACAGGGAATGAAGATCATAGACACCACAATGATGTGGGTGGTGCAGGTAGAAGCTGCCTTCTTCCTCTCCTGCTCTGAATGGGACCTCAACATCACCAGGATGACTGTGTAAGAAATCAGAAGGAGAAGGAACCAGACGAGGACCAGCATTCCACTGTTGGAGATCATGAGGAACTCCAGGAGGGAGGTGTCAGTGCAGGCAAGTCTCAGCACTTGTGGGATGTCACAGTAGAAGTTATCCAGAACATTGGGACCACAAAAAGGCAAGGGGAGCATCAAAGCCAGCTGGACAATGGAGTGAACAAATCCCCCTAACCAAGCAGCCACCACTAGCCCCACACAGAGCTGAGTGTTCATGATGGTGACATAGTGGAGGGGCCGGGAGATGGCTATGTAGCGGTCATAAGCCATCACTGAGAGAAAGAAGACAGTCCCACCTCCCAAGAGGTGAAAGAAGAAGATCTGAGTCATGCAGCCCTGGTAGGAGATGGTCTTGACCTCATGAAGGAAGTCCACCAGCATCTTTGGAGAAGTGACAGTGGAATAACAGAGGTCTATGACAGCCAGGTTTCGGAGCAGAAAATACATGGGCATGTGGAGCCGGCAGTCAAAAGTCACTGTGACCATGATAAGGAGGTTTCCCACAACGGTGGTGACATAGACAAATAGGAACACCAGGAACAGGAATTTCTCAAGGTCCCGGGTCTGTGAGAATCCTAAGAGGATAAACTCTGACACCCTTGTGATATTCTGTGCTTCCATGGGCTCTTCCCCACATACCTAAGGGAAAACCGTGCAAAACAAAAATTATGAAAATTCCATTGTTTTCCTTTGGAGAGTCAGGAATTGGTTGATCAAAGTCACTGTTGAATATATTTCAAGATGGAGTTTAGGGGAGCCTTCCATGGAGATAAATACATTTTCAAGGCTCTCACAGACTTATCTCCCTAACCACACCCTACAATGTATTACAGACATTTATGGATCTTTTCCCCTTTGTATCACTGTCCTCATCCATGGGTTTCAAGTCTGATTCACACCAGATGTGCCCAATGCCTTGTGAACTACAGGCTCCCCAAATACAATGAATCAATGAATGAATGAATAAACATATCAGCAAATACCTGTGACCACAAACGTCATCCACCCGGATGCATAAATCTTGAGAGGATATAAAAACTAATGATTTTAGATAAACACATAGATGCTTTTTCCTGGCAGGGATTTGAAGAGCTGCATGATTCACTGCTGAAGGAAGAGAGGTGTGGATTAGAAGAGATTGTCATGTCCTAATTCGGAAACAAATGTAAAGCAAACAAGCAGATGATCTTGGCTGAAGCTGGGCTGGGATGATTGGCACTTCTCAAACTTTTCCACATAAAAACTCCTCTAATGGTATTTGTTGCCATGGGGCCATCTGTGGGGGTAATTCAAATCAGCCCAGGACAAATGCAAAAATTCCTTGAACTCTCAAGCTTTATATTTTAACACTTACGTAACTTTCTATTATACACATATCTCTAGACAATCTTTGAGAGGCTTTTTAAAATTTAAGTATTGTGGCTTGTAAACTTTGATTGCTAAGGCCAAGGTGTTATAGAAAATATAAAGTAAAGAAGAAATCAATTTCTTTAGTTCGGTAAGTGAAAGTTCCAGAAGGACATTCACTTGAAAAATAAACTGAGTTCTTTACTATTAAAACCCATTCACTTGAGTTACATTTTTCTAAAATTGTTTTCTCTAATCGTTCCAGAAAATTTGCCCTGAGGCCCCACCCTGTGAAGATAATAGAACAGAACAAGATTTCTCCTCCCTGGTTCCCACCTAATATATGGGAAGGACAGCAGCAATTGCACTGAGGTACTTTTCACAGGGAATTGAATGAATATGTGTGAAAAGATTTCTACTAGAAAATATGAAACAGAATTATCTCTGAAATTATCTGTGAGGTATTACAGTATTGAAGATACTGTCATGTTTATATTATCTAAAACTCACATTTGTCCCCAATATTTGTGTAAAAGCTGTGTTCCAGGAAGATTCACTCTGTTTATTCTGTGGCTTCACCAACTTCCAGCATAAAACTATTTGAAAAATGTCCCCATGGATAACTAAGAACCCCTGTAAGCCTTTTGGTGGGAAATGATGTGATGAGACAGAGTTAAAATAGGCTTATCCCAGCACACTAGGGATAAGCCCCGAGACAGGCGAAAGTGGAGCTGGCACTCCAGGGGTGTTGCACTCCAGAGCAACCCCAACAGAAGATCATATGTCTTTGTCTCTGGCTTTGTGTCCTTGCTCTACCACATGGTGTCAAGGTCAATCTGGGTGGGCAGCAGTTTATAAAATTTTTTTTTTCAACGTTTTTTTTAATTTTATTTTTGGGACAGAGAGAGACAGAGCATGAACGGGGGAGGGACAGAGAGGGAGACACAGAATCGGAAACAGGCTCCAGGCCATCAGCCCAGAGCCTGACGCGGGGCTTGAACTCCCAGACCGCGAGATCGTGACCTGGCTGAAGTCGGACGCTTAACCGACTGCGCCACCCAGGCGCCCCTGGGTGGGCAGCAGTTTAAATGGCCTGGTTTGACCTCTCTGAGAAAGTTCCTGACCTCCTAACTCTTTACCCCAATCCCAACCCTCCCACCTGATCATTGATTCCAAAATGCCAACAGCACAGTTTTATTATCCTTGTTTTTATCTTTATCCCTATTAAGATTTGTGCCCCATTAAGGCACTTTTATATCCCTTTATCAGTCAGAAATACACACTGTGTAACGTCAACTTCCTAAAAGACATTTTCCCTCTAGATCCAAACTTTCAAAAATTTTCCCTGGTTCTTCATTGCCTACAAGAAAGAATTCACACTTAAATGAGTTTTCAAGGGCTTCCACACAAACTGGCTCCTGCCTTTCTTTGCACACCCATCTGTCACTTAGCAGTAGTTGAGGTAGTAAACGTTTCTTGCACTCGTAGCAGGAATCGTTGTCGTTGTAGTAGTAGACATTTACTGCGTGTTTACTATGTGCTAAGCACTATGCTAAGAATTTCATAAACATTAGTCTGTTTAGTTCTCATATAATCTTTGCATGCTTATAAAATACAGTAAATTCTATTAATTATCCCCACTTTACAGATGTGTAAACTAAGGCTTCAAGTTGGTAAATAGTTTGCAGCAGGTCACACAGAGTGAGTAGCAGAGCTCTGCTACTCTGGGACTCTGACCCAGGTCTGATTAGTCCCAGAATCTGCACTCCTAACTACTATTCTCTTCCTACTTGCTCCCTGATGAGAACCCTTGGCTTCAACCAAACTGATCTCCTCTTCAGTTCCTTAGGCATCAGGGCATTTCATCAGGCCAGTGCGCCACCTGGATTTCCTTCCCATCTTCACCTATCTGAATCTCACCTTTCCTTCAAGGCCCAAGAGTAATTAGCCAATCCATAACATTATCATGGACTAGTATTTTTCCATGAGGATGGTTCTATTTTCTCGCTTGTGTTTGTAATTTCAGTGCAAGTCTGATATGTCGAGTGCTACACAGTTCCTTAGGGTGCACATAGCCTTTCTCATAGATGGTTCCCAAAAGAATGCTTGGCGGCTTGATGGTGGGCGGAGTGCTGGCATGGGCCCCGAGCACTGTGGGAGGTGAGAAGAGAGGGAGTAGCCATCGAATGAAAGAGTTCAGTTCAAGGGAATTTGAAAGGAACCCAAAATCCTAATTCCCAGCATCGCCACATTTACAAAAGCATCATCTTAGCATGGCCAGCATGCTTAGCACAAACTCATAAGAATCTTTGGAAATGATTCTTCCACTTACATGCAAAGAGAATAGATTTAGATGGAAAATAAAATTAAACAAACAAATAAATAAATAAATAAATAAATAAATAAATAAATAAATAAAGAGATGGATCCCAGACACTTTTCTGTTGTTGCTCAACCTTGTTTCCCATCCATCTTGCTCTTAGGAAATCCATCCACACGGGACTGAAAGAGAGGAGGGGAGGGAGAAAAAGTAATTCCAAAAATGGCGGTGGATCTAGTCTGGGGTCATCTTGGAAGTATTAATAGGTTTATTAACACAAGATTTAGGAGAAAGGAGGATAGAGGTATAGCAATAGAGAGGGAATGGAAACTCAGTGGGTGGAAGAGGGGATTTAAAGGGAAACATTAGAGGGTGGGAAGTGTGAGATAAAGACCTGGTGTGTTTTTTTTCTAGGTGTGGGAAGAAGCTGGAGCATGTGTGTGGGAGATGGGGGAGAAACCAGCTGTGTCTATATTCTGCTCTCCCTCCCACCCTCTGTCCTAAATTCTACACAACACATAAGCTAGTACAGACCAAAGTCATAGTTCCAGATAAAATCAACTGTTCCCCAAATCCCTTTGCCCCAACATTCTTGCCCCACGCTTTCCCTCCATCCCATGCTTGTCTTACAATAGACTTTGCGGGAGCCTTCTCAGTGCTGACTTGTCCATGGGAAGGACACTGGGGCCATCACATACCTTCAGCCCAAAGTGGCCGAGGGGACTTAGAGCCTCCACCCTCCAGGTCACACTTCTCCCACAGCTCCATTCTTCTCTTGGCCTATCTCAGACCAAGAACACACAGAGGATTGGCCTAATTAAGGGAAGGGACATTCCTCAGGGTACGAAACTTGGGCTTAATTCATGCAGTGAAGCTGGGCTGGGGCTGTTGAGGGCAAGAGCAATGGGAGTTATTAAAAAGTGTGTGAACTGTTGCATCAGATGCACATTATCGGAGAAACTGTCTTGGGACCCAACGCTCTGGGGGCGCTGATCATAGGACCACGATGAAGAGGATTAAGAGCCCTTTCAGGAAATGAATTCCCAGGGAGGTTTATAAGAACGAAAGCCTTTCAGGTCAGCACCATGGGCAGTGCAAGGCCTCCACCCTCTGCTACCACCACTGTAACTGAAAAAGTGAACTCTATTCTAGGACACGGTGCAGGTCAGGCTTTGGTAAACTCCAAAGCCTTTTTTCACGTGTCCAACTGTTAAGGTATCTCTCACCCCAGTCTCTGATCTTCTGTCCTCACAGCCAGCGTGACCTTCTCAAAAACAACTTGGCTAAGTTTACCCTCAAGATATCACTCACATGCCATAAAATTCACCAATTTAAAGTGCACAGCCCAGTGGGCTTTCCCATATTCACAGGTTTGTGTAACCATCACCAGCCACTATCTAACTCCAGGGCACTTTCCTCACTCTGAAAGCAACCTTCTACCCAGCCTGTTCTCTCCCTAGGTCCTGGCAACCACTAATCACTAATCTACTTTTTGTCCCTGCAGATTTGCCTATTTTGGACATTTCGTATAAATGGAGTCATAGAATATGCAGTCTTCTTTCTTTTGGCTTCTTCCTCTGAGCACAATGTTTCCAAGGTTCACCCATGTTGTGTTAGTACTGCACTCCTCTTTACGATTAAATAATACTCCACTTGTGCACATGCCACTTTTGTTTACCACTAGTCAGCTTGTGGACACTTGGCTTGTTTCTAATTTTTGCTATTATGAATAATGCTGCTATTATATAACATTTGTACACATGTTTTTGTGTGGACATATGTTTTCAATTATCTTGAATATATACCTGGGAGTTGAACTACTGGGTCATATGATAACTCTATGTTTAACCTTTTAAGGAACTGCCGGTGTGTCTTCCAGCAGCTACACCATCTTCTATTCCCACCAGCAGGGTACAAGCAGGGATAATTTTTCCACCAACATTTCTTATTATCTGTCTTTCTATTATAACCATCCTAGTGGGAATAAAGTATTTCATAGTGGTTTTGTTTTAATTTTAATTCCCGTATAGTTAACATTCAGTGTTATATTAGTTTCAAGTGTACAATATAGTGATTCAACAATTCCATACATCACCCAGTGCTCATTACAAGTGCACTCCTGGGGCACATGGGTGGCTCAGTCAGTTAAGTGTCTGACTCTTGGTTTTGGCTCAGGTCCTGATCTCACGGTTCATAAGTTCAGTCCCTGCATTGGGCTCTGCACTGCTGGTGTGGAGCTTGCTTGGGATTCTCTGTCTCCCACTCTCTGCCCTCCCCCCACTCACTCTTCTCTCTCTCTCTCTCAAAATAAAGAAATATTTTTTAAAAATTTTATTTTTAAGTAATCTCTACACCAAACATGGGACTTGAACTTACAACTCTGAGATCAAGAGTTGTGTGCCCTTGACCAACTGAGCCAGCCAGGTGCCCCTAAGAGTCTGTTTCTTGGTTTGTCGCTCTGTCTTTTTTTCCTTTGCTCATTTGTTTTGTTTCTTAAATTTTACACATGAGTGAAACCATATGGTATTTGTCTTTCTCTAACTTGCTTAGTATTATACTCTCTATCTCCATCCATGTTGTTGCAAATGGCAAGATTTCATTCTTTTTTATGGATGAATAATATTCCATTGTGTATATTATACATGAGATTTTCTTTATCCATTCATCTACTGATGGATACTTGGGCTTCTTCCACAATTTGGCTAGTATAAATAATGCTGCTATAAACATAGGAGTGCATATATCCCTTTAAATTAGTGTTTTCATATTCTTTGGGTAAATACCCAGTACTGCAATTACTGGATCATAAGGTAGTTCTATTTTTTATTTTTATTTATTTATTTATTTATTTTTACATTTTAATTTTATTTTTAATTTTTTTAAATTTACATCCAAATTAGTTAGAATATAGTGCAACAATGATTTCAGGAGTAGATTCCTTAGTGCCCCTTACCCATTTAGCCCATCCCCCCTCCCACAACCCCTCCGGTAACCCTCAGTTTGTTCTCCATATTTATGAGTCTCTTCTGTTTTGTCCCCCTCCCCGTTTTTATATTAGTTTTGTTTCCCTTCCCTTATGTTCATCTGTTTTGTCTCTTAAAGTCCTCATATGAGTGAAGTCATATGATTTTTGTCTTTCTCTAATTTCACTTAGCATAATACCCTCCAGTTCCATCCACATAGTTGCAAATGGCAAGATTTCATTCTTTTGATTGCCGAGTAATATTCCATTGTGTGTGTGTGTGTGTGTGTGTGTGTGTGTGTGTGTATACCACATCTTCTTTATCCATTCATCCATCGTTGGACATTTGGGCGCTTTCCATACTTTGGCTATTGTTGATAGTGCTGCTATAAACATGGGGGTGCATGTGTCCCTTTGAAACAGCACACCTGTATCCCATGGATAAATGCCTAGTAGTGCAATTGCTGGGTCATAGGTTAGTTATATTTTTAGTTTTTTGAGGAACCTCCATACTGTTTTTGCAGAGTGGTTGCACCAGCTTGTATTGCCACCAACAATGCAAAAGAGATCCTCTTTCTCTGCATCCTCGCCAACATCTGTTGTTGCCTGAGTTGTTAATGTTAGCCATTCTGACAGGTGTGAGGTGGTATTTCATTGTGGTTTTGATTTGTATTTCCCTGATGATGAGTGATGTGGAGCATTTTTTCATGTGTCGGTTGGCCATCTGGCTGTGTTCCTTGGAGAAGTGTCTATTCATGTCTTTTGCCCATTTCTTCACTGGATTATTTGCTTTTTGGGTGTTGAGTTTGATAAGTTCTTTATAGATTTTAGATATTAACCCTTTATCTGATATGTCATTTGCAAGTGTCTTCTCCAATTCCATTGGTTGCCTTTTAGTTTTGCTGATTGTTTCCTTCACTGTGCAGAAGGTTTTTTATTTTGATGAGGTCCCAGTAGTTCATTTTTGCTTTTGTTTCCCTTGCCTCCAGACACTTGTTGAGTAAGAAGTTGCTGCAGCCAAGATCAAAGAGGTTTTTGCCTACTTTCTCCTCGAGGATTTTGATGGCTTCCTGTCTTACATTGAGGTCTTTCATCCATTTTGAGTTTATTTTTGTGTCTGGTGTAAGAAAGTGGTCCAGGTTCATTCTTCTGCATGTCACTGTCCAGTTTTCCCAGCACCACTTGCTGAAGAGACTGTCTTTATTCCTTTGAGCATTCTTTCTGGTTTGTTAAAGATTAGTTGGCCATACGTTTGTGAGTCCATTTCTGGGTTCTCTATTCTGTTCCATTGATCTGAGTGTCTGTTCTTGTGCCAGTACCATACTGTCTTGATGATTACAGCTTTGTAGTATAGCTTGAAGTCTGGGATTGTGATGCCTCCTGCTTTGGTTTTCTTTTTCAAGATTGCTTTGGCTATTCGGGGTCTTTTCTGGTTCCATACAAATTTTAGGATTATTTGTTCTAGCTCTGTGAAGAATGCTGGTGTTACTTTGATAGGGATTGCATTGAATATGTAGATTGCTTTGGGTAGTATCGACCTTTTAACAATATTTGTTCTTCATATCCAGGAGCATGGAATCTTTTTCCATTTTTTTTTGTGTCTTCTTCAATTTCTTTCATAAGCTTTCTATAGTTTTCAGTATATAGCTTTTTCACCTCTTTGGTTAGATTTATTCCTAGGTGTTTTATGGTTTTTTGTGCAACTGTAAATGGGATCGATTCCTTGATTTCTCTGTCACTTCATTGTTGGTGTATAAGAATGCAACCGATTTCTGTGCATTGATTTTATATCCTGCCACTTTGCTGAATTCATGAATCAATTCTAGCAGTTTTTGGTGGAATCTTTTGGGTTTTCCATAAAGAGTATCATGCCATCTGCGAAGAGTGAAAGTTTGACCTCCTTCTGGCTGATTTGGATGCCTTTTATTTCTTTGTGTTGTCTGATTGCAGAGGCTAAGCCTTGTTCCTGACCTTAGGGGGAAAGCTGTCCGCTTTTCCCCATTGAGGATAATATTAGTGTTGGGTCGCTAGTTTATGGTTTTTATCATCTCGAGGTATGCTCCTTCTATCCCTACTTTCTTGAGGGTTTTTATCAAGAAAGGATGCTATATTTTGTCAAATGCTTTCTCTGCATCTATTGAGAGG